CTAGGAGCTTCAACAAGGAATGCTTGCGAAGCGGGGGTGAGAACAACAGGTTGGCCTCCACCCCGCCTGTGTGGAGGCGCATCTGGGGCTGCGCGCGGAGTGGACCCGCTTCAGGGGCGCGATCCTTGGAGCGGCGCTTCGGGGAGCGGCACCCGGGATGCGGACGCGCGGCGGTCATCCCAGCCGCCCGGTGGCCGACCACCTGCCACAGTTGGCCGCTGCGGCTGGGAAGAGCTCACCCTGGCACCAAACATGCTGGGCGTGCTGGGGGCCGAGGACGACGGCAATGGCCAGCAACGTGCCGTCGTTCTTGAGCCGGAGCTGATCCTCTCGTCCACCGTCGCCCAAGGTGTGGAGGCGTGGTCTTCGCGTCGTGTAAGCTGTTGGAGGAGGTGGCCACCGTCTGGTCCAACTCCCACCTGGCCGTTATCCTCCCTGGACGGCGGCATGCCACTGAACTCTCGGTCAAGCTCGGTCTGCAGGAATCGGCCGCGTCCGTCCGCCACGTGGGCGTCACGAACACCAAGCTGAAGCGCCAGGAGCTGACGCTGGTCGCCATAGTCAACCTGCGCACCAAGACCGTGTCGTTCAAGGAGGTCCGTGGGCAGGCCATCCAGGTGCCAGAGGTGGAGACGCGCGAGTTCGCGGCAGAGGTCGACAGCCGGTACGCGTCCTGCAGTGTGTTCCAGAAGCTGGAGGAGCGGAAGGCGGGAGCACTGAAGGAGGCCATCCTGGTTGCTCTCCCAAACTTGGGGGCAACAACGACCAGGCCTTCGCGCTTCGACTTCTACGTCTTCCGTGTCCGGCAGCACCAGGCCCACGTTCGGATGATGATCTCCACGCGCATGCAGACCCAGGACACCGAGGCAGTTCTGAGGGCATGCGATACGAAGGGGATCTTTTTCAGGCTCCTCCCAGGGGTGCCCCCCCAGACACCTTGAGCACAGTCGTGGACGGAAGACGTGTGATTGCCACCGCAGGGAACGTTGATTGTCAATACGAGGCGGTCGCTCGACAGACACCGGCGGGCAATGCGCGCATGCTGCGTCGCAAAGTTATTGAGTACATGGCCCCTCGCAGGGCTGAGTTTGGACAGTGGTTGGTTGGAATGCCTTGGGAACCTTATCTGGCAGCTATGCGTGAGCCCAGATGCTGGGGCGACGACTTGACGCTGCATGCCGCGGCCGCGGTCACTGGAACTGCTATTCACGCGGTCCGCCGCCGAGGGGCTGCGCCGACATCGTTTTCGGGGTCCCAGCAGCTGACTCGGTGTGCGCAGACCTCACGCCAGCAGTGGGCGACGGGGCGATCTGGATCTTGTACAGCGGTGACGACTACTACGACCGACATGCTCGGGGCCCATGTGCGCGCGTCCAGACATGCCCCCCCTGAGCAGATGGCGGCCGAAAGGTCGGTGCGGCATCCTGCGTGGCACCGTGCCGCCTGGCGCCGGGTGGAGGGCTTGGCCGACGCGGGCCAGGAGCGGCTGCTGACGATCTGGAGCGTGAATGCCACCGGAGCCAAAGCCCGATTCCACTTGCTCCCAGGTTCCGCCGCCGACCTTGTCTTGTTTTACCTCCTCCCCTCTTCCCGCCACGCGGCCGCTTCCGCCTGTCTTCTCCTCCTCCTCCTCCTCCTCCCCCTCCTCCTCCTCCTCCTCCTCCTCCTCCTGCCGCCGGTTAATTCGCGCTGTCTGTTACCCGGACCGCTCGAGCGCGCGTGCGGACTGCTTCTGCCGCGCTGCGACGTAAACACCGGTGCAGGAAACCTGGGCGACGGCAGGCTGAGGCGACGCGCCAGATCTATCTGGGACCTCCTGTGGCCGTCCACAGTGGGAATTGGATGATGGGGAGCCGCGGCAGGTACCGAGCCGTGCGCTGGTACTTGGGTCAGCTCCAGTTTGATGCTGCCACCTCCGAGGTCGGCACCACTTGGGCCGACCTGGCTGTGGACTTCGAGCTCAGCGCTGGCGTCGAGCTGGCTCCGCCCAGCAGCACGATGGCCACGCGGGCCCAGAAAGGCGCGGACAGGGCTTCTCGTACCTGGCAGCTGTCCGCGCCCGGCCAGCAACGACAGCGCAGGGGGCAACAACAGGCAGCTGGCGCTGGACCTCACCGTGGTCGCCCGTGACACTGCCCTCGTGGCGCTCGGCATCAAGCCGGGCCCGAGGGTGACGTCGCGCGCCATCTTCGTGCAGCCCTTCACGCAGGAGGCGTGGCTGAGCGCGGCGCAGCGTGGGCAGGCGGAGCTGCGCCGTGCCCCCCCCCCCCATGGCGGCCAGACTGCGGCGGAACGCCTGCGCCGCCTGTGCAGGCCGCTGTCTGGCACGCACCGCCGGTGGAGCCCGTGCTCGAGGCGCCAGGCTGGCGCGGCGCGACGCTGCCCTGTCCCGTCAAGGGGGCGACCAGCTGACCGCCGCCAGGACAGCGGCGGCCGAGAGGAGACGCCAGGAGCACAGCGCCGCAGCGATCGCCCAGGGCCTCCACATGCTCGTGGGCCTGCCCCCTGCGGGCGCGGACAGCCCGCTGCCGGTGACTTTCTGAACGCTGCGCCGCGGCCGGCAGGCGCAGGAGATGCGCCTGGCCAAGTTCATAGGGGAAGCCTGCACAGCGCCCCGGGGAAGGCCCAGGGAGTGGCGAGGCCGCGCCTGCGGCCAGCCGAAGGGGAGGAGGTCTAGGAGGAGGAGGAGGAGGAGACCGAGGAGGAGGAGGCGGCGGTGGTGGCTCTATATCTGCATCTGTATCTACTGCTCCTGAGCAAGGCCTAGGTTCTGGAATGCTGCGGCGACTCATCAACCTGATCAGTGTGTTTTGTCCCCTGAACAAGGCGTTGTCTGGAATGGTGGTGATCCCTCAGTATGTCACTGCCCATGAGTTGGGCCTTGTTCTGGCATGATGGTGCTATCGCCCCTGAACTGGGCCTTGTTCTGGATCGGTCGTGGTCATTCCACATGTTACCGCCCTTGAGCTGGACCGTGTCCTGGATTGGTGGTGCTACCGCCTCTGAGCTGGGCCTTGGTTTGGAATGGTGGCAGGCCGATCTGCCGCCCCGCATTGGCAACCAACCTCCGTCATTTGTCCTGCAAGCCAGCCCGTGTCAAGTTCCTGGCAAGAATACTGCTCCCGCCGCGCCGCAAGTGCTTGATGCATGCGAAATTGGGGAACCCAAAAAGGTATCGATACCGCTACTACTCTTAACATAAACAATGGTCGAGCGAAGAGTGGTCGCGCACAAAACGCGCACACGACGACTTGTGCAGAGAAGTGTTTGTCCAAGAGGGCAGTAACGAAGCAAGAGAACGCGAATCGACGCCCAGAGTCCAAGTCAACAGCCCACACAAGACCGCACAAAACATCCCGCACAAGAACTCGCACAAGACCTCTAGGACCACTCTTTCTGTTAACAATAATGCTCCCCAGACCTCTACAGGGGTGCGTTCTGACTAGGATGTCGAGGCGGATCCAGCGGTGGCGACGAGGGCCGCCCAGGAGGCCCAGAAAAAGGGGAAACGAGGGAAAGGTATAAGTATGGGTACCCTTTCCCCCTCCGTCAAATTGTTGGGAGCTTCTAGCCGCATGACCAGATGTTGTGAAAGCGTCTCAAGCGAAACGCACGGCCCCTGGCTGGTTCTACTGACACGCCTGGTGGCGCGCCGAGGGAAGGTCAAGTTTGTTGTTTTGATATATCTGTATATATATATATAAAGATTTGTACACATAGTTGTTGCTTTCTGTTCTTTGATGCTCATGCTTTTATAGTTGGTTATGTATATATATATATACCGTGTAGAAGTACTGTGTTTACTCTATTCTTGGGGGGAATTATTTTCCCGAAAATTGTCTTTTCTTGGGGGGCGAGCCTTGCCTTCTGCCAGCTTCCGCTGCGCTTCCGCTGCGCTTCCGCTGCGCTTCCGCTGCGCTTCCGCTGCGCTTCCGCTGCGCTTCCGCTGCCTTCCGCCCAAAGATCCGACCTCGCTTTGCGTTGCCTCCGCCGGCCTTCTGCCGACGACGAGGAGTCAACCTCTCGACCCCTCGGAGGCGAGGCCTAAGCTAGAGCGCCCCACGCACAAGGAGGATGGGGGTGGTGGAGCAGGGAGTGAGGTAGGGAGGCAGGCATGTAGGGAGGCACGGGTGAGGTAGGCAGGCAGAGAGACTGGACTGAGCCACGAGGGAGAATGGAGGAGGAGGCAGGAGGGAGGACAGGGAGGCGAAACTCCCCTCCCCTCCTCCCCTCTTCCCCTTCGCCCTTCCTCCCTCCTCCTCTCCCCTTCCCTCCTCCTCCTCCCCCTCCTCGGCGCCCGCATCCTCCTCCTCTTCCTCCGCTTCCTCCTCGAGTCGATCGGACACGAGGTCAAATCAGACCAGGAGACGCGACGCTCGACCGCTCTTCCAGCACCCGGCCTGCCGAGGCCGCCCGCCGCTGCAGCGCTGCTGCCACGGAGCTGCAGGAGGAAGCGACGACGACGGGCCAGGCGTGCCGGAGAGGCTTGCCGTCGCTCGGGCGTCCATGCCCCGTGCCCCTCTCGGCCCCGCGCGCGCCTCTCTCTTTTTATCCCCGAGGATCCGGGATGCTCCTCGATGGTCCTCGCCGAGCACAGGAGGAGAACAGGCGCGATGGACAGAAACTTTTGGCGCTCCGCGCGGATCCAAGACATCCGCGCGGAGCGCATTTTTTTTGTTTATCTTGTCTCTTCGTCTCCGAAAAAAAAACATACACGTCCGAGAGCGACGCTGAGGAGGCGTCGGCGACGGCGACGGCGACGGCGGCGACGGCCCGGCCGCGGCGGCGACGGCGGTGACGGCGGCGACGGCGACGGCCGCGGCCGCGACGGCGGGGCGACGGCGACGTCCCCGAGGAGGCGACGGCGACGGCCACGGCGACGGCGGCGGCGACGGCGGCGACGGCGGCGACGGCCGCGGCCGCGGCGGCGACGCCGGCCGCGATGCCCCCGCGGCGGCGGCGGGGGCCGACGCGGAGGGGAGGCCGCCCGGGGCGCGCGCGCTGCCGGCGGAGGCGCTGGAGCTCGCGTAGGACCTCGCGGCGGCCGCGCGGAGGGGCGGCCGCCGACGGACCGTCGAGACCCTCGCAGGGTGTCTTTCTGCCGTCGAGTCGCTGTGCTGGTCGCTGGCGCCACCGTCGTCGCCGCCGCCGTCGTCGCCGGCCCTCCCCCGAAGGTCAACGTCGTCGTCGTCGTCGTCGTCGTCGTCGTCGTCGTCGTCGCAGTCGTGATCGTCGTCGTCGTCGTCGTCGCCATCGTCGTCGTCGTCGTGCCATCCCCCCCCCCTCCCTTCCAAACCCACCTCCACATCCTCGACTTGGTCCTCCTCCGCCCCATCCCCGCCGCCTCCTCCTGAATCCCTCTTCTTCATCGAAAACTACTCCCTGTCTCACCCCGAAACGGGTCGGTAAGGCGGGCCGGGCGTTTCGACTGAGGCTTCCTCATCATGTATGATCCTGAAAATTGAAAATTTGGAACAGTTTCGCAGATGGAGGGGGGCCGTTTTCAAAATGTGGCCCTCGCGTTAGCGCCTCACACATCCGTTGTAAAACAGTGCAAGAGTTTCGCAGATGGAGGGCGGACCGCTTTCAAAATAAGGCTATCGCCATAGCACCACGAATTTTCTTCTGCAGAGTGTGCAAGAGCTTCATGGAGGGCGGGCTGTCTTCAGAATGTGGCTATCGCCTCAGCGCCGCGTCAAGTCTTCTTTAAAGTCTGCGAGTTGTTCACGGATGGAGGGCGAGTAGTTTTCAAAGTGTTCAGAACAACCAAAAAACGCCATAGACATAACCTTTTGGCTCTCCGCGCGGATTTCTTGGATCTGCGCCGGACTCCCCTCCCTGGTGCGCGGAGAGCGCTGGGGCGGCGCCGGAGGCGCCGCTGGGGGGCCCAGCGCGGATCCAAGAAATCCGCGTGGAGCGCCAACAGTGGATGTCTATGGCGTTTTTTCTTCTTCGAGTGTTGCTCAGCGCCACGCACACTCGTCTTAAAAGTACACCCTGCGAAATGCTTTAGAAATCATGGGTTAAGAAATTCATAGTCTCGGAATTCGAATAAAAAACCCAGAATGTCTATTCAAATCTTAGGATTTACATTCAAACATTAAGAATAATCGAGACTCTGGCCGAAAACTTGGGTTTTCTTAAGCATCGCCTAAGGTGTAGGTTCGAAGAATTTCACGGGTGGAGGGCGGTCCCACTTCAAAATATGCCTGTGGCCTTCGCGCCGCGCACATTCGTCCCAACAATTTACAGCAGTTGCGAGTGCCCTCGTCGCTGACATGCCAGCAGTTGTGTATTGGTACGATCTAGGAGTGCCAGGACGCGACTGTCAGTCTGATATGCGGTGCCGAGGTCCCAGGAACGGTGTTCTGGCACGAAGTTCTAGGAGTGGTGCTTTGGCTTGGTTGCGGATCTTCAGACGGTTCTCATCCAACGGGACACGTCCCCGCAGTGAACATACATCTTTGTAGGGACCTATGAACAGAGAACTTGGGGGAGGGTTTATTGCAGCATCGTTGATGAGTCTTGGGTTTGTGCTGGTCCTCCTCCTCGTCCTCCTCCTCCAGATCCTCATTCTCTTCCTCTCACTCCTCCTTCTCCTCCTCCTTCTCCTTCTCCTCCTCCTCCCCCTCCCTCCTTTTCCTCCCTTTTCCCCTCCTCCTCCTGTCTCCCTCTTTCCCTCCCTTCCTCCCTCCTTCCCTCCTTTCTCCTGCTGCTGCTGCTCCTTCCTCAATCCTTCGTCGTTTTCCTCGTGCTGATTCCTCATCCTGCTTCTGAGCCTCCTTCTACTCCTGGTTCTCCTCACTTCTCTTGGCACTTTTCTGCGGTATTGCCATCGGATAAACCCGTGGCGTCGGAAGGCCAACGCGAGAGCAGCGCTGCAGGACATCGCAGGCGAGATGTATAATCGCTGGCCAAGTAAGCCTCCACTGACGCTGCAGCTCGGAAGCTGCTCGACCGAACGCACCAGGTCCAGCAACCACCTCCAACATCAGAGTCGATCCTGCCCACCATCATCCAGGACCATCATCGTGCCACCATGAGGAACGCTGAAGGATAGAGGGCGGAGGGCCCACCCTCATAAGAAGCAGACCTACGGGCGATACCATTAAGTAGAAGCACCGTAGTCAAGAACATAACCATGACTGGTTCTTAAACGCCCAGGGGCTGCTGTGCAAACGCCAGTTTGGCGGTCGTAGTGTTTGGTCTCCTTGCTTCTCTGACCGCGGCGAGCTTCGACCACGATTCTGCTCCTAACCCAGATCTACGGAATGGTCTGAAAACCAAAGCCCTTCCGAAACACAAAGTGGTACTTCAACGTCCTGACTTTGAAGGCCTCATCGTGGCTCCGCTTTCGGCCCGGACCTTGAGGCCTTCAAAAACACAAATCCGAAAAGCCGTGGCTCCTCCTGGCTCGTCCTCCTCGCTCCTCCTGCTTCTCCTGTTCGTCCTCCTCCTCGCTGCTGTCTCCTTCTCGCCCTCCTCCTCCTGCTCCTCCTCCTCCTCCTCTTCTCCTCGCCCTCCTCCTCTTCCTCCTCCTCCTCCTCCTCAATTTCACACACTGAATACTACTCTCCTCTCTCCCCTGATCACGTCCGGAAGATGTTCGCCCCCCTTCCGCGTACTGTTTTTTACACAGGATTTCTGGGACATGGGTTTTCGCTTGGGCTGTTTTCAATATGTTACTCCCGCTGAAGCGCTGGCCCCATTTCTGCGCCTCTGGTTCTTCCAAATCGTGCTCCCGCTGCAGCGCGGCTGTTTTCGGTCCTTCCAACTAGGCCCCACAATTTAAAACATGTCACCCCGAAAAAACCATCGGAAGTGATTACACATTCGGTGCCGATTCGTTGATTGTTTGGGCCGCAGAAGCCCCACCAAGCCCCCCCACTTTGGGGTGTCGTCGTTTTCAGGGAGTATCAAGCAAGAGTCCCGTCTCTTCTTTGAGAAGGCGATGTTGAAAGCAGAGCCCCCGGGTGCTCTCCAGCAGTTCCGCTTTGTGTGGAACTTTTCGGGGAAACCAAGGAGTTAGACGTGGAACCACGACTCCAAACTGGCCCAGACCTCTCGAAGACGATCCACTTACCCTCCAAGGAACCCAGCGCCATGCCATGACATGCTGCGCGGTGTTCTGTTCTGCGCCGCTATGCGATGCCATGCTTTGCGTGGTAATGCTTCACTGCGCAATGCCACGCCATGCTATGACATTCTACGCTCTGCCGTGTTCTTATACGCCATGCCATGCTATGCCGTGCTCTTCAATGCATCGCGTACACTCTCTCGATCATTGCCCTGCTCGACATCCGACTGTGCGAATAGAGAGGGTATCTACGTCATGGCCAGGGATGGGAGGGAGGGGTAGGACGACATATACGACGCGAGCGCACCTAGCTTGTCCCTCTCCTTCTCCCTCTCCTCCCCCTCCTCCTCCTCCTCCTCCTCCTCCTCCTTTTCCTCCTCCTCCTCCTTTTCCTTCTCCTCCTTTTCCTCCTCCTCCTTCCTCCTTCCTCCTCCCTCTCCTCCTCCTCCTCTTCCTCCTCCTCCTCCTCCTCCTTCTCCTCCGCCTGCTCCTCCTCCTTCTCCTCCGCCTGCTGCTCCTCCTCCTCCTCATGCGCTCGCGGGGAGTTCCAGACGCCCGCTCCTCCTCCCTCCTCCTCCTCCTCCCCCTCCTCCTCCTCCTCCTCCTCCTCCTCCTGCTCCGCCCGCGAAACGCACGCAGCATGGAACAGCTGGAAAACATACCCGGCCAGTGATGCACGGCCCGGACGCGGCCGTGCGCGATCTGAGCCTCCGCCGCGCCGGGGTCGCAGCAGAGGGACGAGAGGCCGATGCCGGCTGCGGCGAATCGGACAACTCTTTCAAGCGTGGCCCTCCACCTGGGCACTAACACCGCGGCACCGCCCATGCGTCGCTCAAGCAGCAGCCAGCGTGCGCGGCGACAAGCTCCAGAGAGGCGCCGTCTCGGGTGCCGCTCCCCGTACACCTCGAAGACCCCGGGCTCGCGCCTCCCCCTGTTCCCCTCCATCCTCCCTCTTCCTCCTCCTCCTCCTTCTCCTCCTGCTCCTCCTCCTCGCTCCTCGCTGCTGTCTCCTCCTCGCCCTCCTCCTCCTCCTCCTCCTCGTCTCCTTCCTCCTCCTCCTCCTCCTCTGCCTTCTTTTCCTCCTCCTTCTCCTCTTCCTCCTCCTCCTCCTCGTCCTCCTCCTCACTTCGCCCCGGTTGAAAATCGCCCCCCTGAACTCTCCACGGGTTTCTTCTGATCAGAGATTTGAAAAGAATCCGCTGGTGGCGACGAGAAGCCTCCTGGAGGCCCCAGCAAGGTACAAGATCGCAGGACGTCGTCCCGAACGTGGAGGCCCGGGAAGGCGAAGCGTCGTAAAAACTGTGACATCTCTCCCCTCCCCACTGACTGCGGCGCGTTCGTCTGTCAATAGGGGCGTTTCGTGGAAGCGAACACTTGTAGGGACTTGTGGGGAGGGGACTTGGGGATGGGAAAATGTATTGCAGCAACGTTGACGCATCTTGGGCTTCCTCTGGTCAACCTCCCCTTTCCTCATCCTCATTCTCGCTCTTCCTCCTCCGCCTCCTCTTCCTCCTCCTCCTTCTCCTCCTTCTCCTTCCTCCTCCTCCTCCTCCAGGTTCCTCCCCATCATCCTGTGACATTGCGACTAAGCCAACCGCACGAGTGGTTCAACGAGGGGCAAGATGTTTTTGGCCAGTGACCCCACGTATACGGGGCCAAACGGGAGCGGCTCGACTGAGACCCCACTCTTCTTGGGGTGGAGACCTTCGCCGATCCTTCACCAGTGTCAGCGAAGGGCGAGCGGGCAAATGACAGCCAGAATGAGGGACGAGAGGGAGAGCAGAAAGAGAGGGCAGCCCACACCCGCCTGGGGCGTAGCTGCGACGGCGCGAACCAGACGCAACTCCACACGAGGAGTGTTGAAACCTGCCCTGCCAGAAGTCGGCGGCGAGCGAGGGGGGCCCCTGAGCAGGGGCGGGCCGCCCCAGAAGGCTCGGAAGTCCACCCCTTCTGAAAAGCTTTCTAGGCCTTCCCTGAAGTAGGGGGCAAACAAACCTACCTCGCTTTTGACCACCCTCGCTTCCAAGAGATACCAAGCGATGCCAAACTACGGCATGTACTGGTCAGGCCGCTTGACGAGGAGGCGTATGGTATGACTTGGTTTTGCCTGGAAGCGAAAGCGGGGTAGGTAACTCACGCTCTGATGAAGACAGAAAGCAACAACTGCTCAGGAGGAGCGAGGGCTCTGAGAAGCCCCGCCGCCTTCTGAGAAGGCCTTCTCTTTCTCATTCCCCCCCTCGCTCGCCGCCGAAGAAGGGGAGGGGGAAAGCCCGAAGACTGGCTAGATCCTGTCGTAGCAGCAGCCTGGCCGATGCAGAGGGCCTGGCCGGTCTGCCTGGGGAGCCGGAGGTCAGCCAGCTCCCCCTCCACCCCCCTCCTCCTCCTCGTCCTCCTCCTCATCGTCCTCCTCGTCGTCGTCGTCCTCCTCTTCTTCCTCCTCCTCCTCGTCCTCCTCCTCCTCCTCCTCTTCCTCCTCCTCCTCCTCCTCCTCCTCCTTCTCTTCCTCCTCCTCCCCAGACACCCGACGTCCTGATTTTTTCACCACGTCGACCCTGAAATCTGGACTCCTTCCCTGGGACCGGTTTTTCATCCTGAGTCCCTTTGTGACGGTTCCGAACCCTGGTGAGGGCCCCTGGAGGCCAAGGACAGGAACAGGAACGCGCCAAGTCCGCCGGCTGGTCGGCCAGCAGGCCTCTTGAGGGCAACGCGGGTGGGCTGGGGCCCGCTAGCTGCACTTGCTGGACGAAGGCGCGTGTCCCATACGGAGTCGGAGTCGGAGCCGGAGAGATGGGAAGGGAGCCCGGAGGCCGAAAATAGCGAAAAACCTCCCGTCGCGTTTTTTTACAACGCGAAGGTTCCAGAGCGTTCTGGAACGCTCTCAAAGCGCTCCAGAGCGTTCTGGTCCGCTCTGAGAAGGCCGCAGCGCTCAATACGTCCTCCAGAGCCGCTGGATGTCAGAGATTCTCGATTTATCCTCACCCCGATATATCCTCGTCCTGGTTTCGTTTGATCGTCGGAGCATCGGAGCCGAGTCGGATAAGGGATGGCCGGCATCCCAGACCCTGGCTCCCGTGCAAGTTTACACAACGCGAAGGGGTCTTGATTTTTTGCGTCGCTCTCTTGGACGGACACGACTCCCAGGACGACGACCACGCTGACGACGCTGACGACGCTGATGACGACGACGACGACGACGACGACGTTGCTGACGCCGCCGCCGCCGCCGCCGCCGCCGCCGCCGCCGCCGCCGCCGCCGCCGACGCCGCCGCCGCCGCCGCCGCGCCGCCGCCGCCGCCGCCGCGCCGCCGCCGCCGCCGCCGCCGCCGCCGACGACGACGACGACGACGACGACGACGACGACGACGACGACGACGACGACGCCCCCCCCCCCGCGGGCGGCCTGGAGGTGCTGCCCGCGCCCGGGGGGCTGCGCGGCGTGCCCGGCGTGCTCGGGCGCGCGCCGCCGAGGGCGCGGGGGGTGGCCGAGGCGGACCTGGCACAGGCGGGGGGGGGGGAGGGCGCGCGCGCGCGCGCCTGGCGGGCGCGCGGGGAGGCCGTGGCCTCACTGCGAGAGCGCCTGGCACTCTGCAGGCACGCGGTCGGGACACTTCGGGGATCCACAGTCGGGGGGCCTTGACCTGAGGAGCCCAAACTAAGGAACGAGGCCCCCTTTTTCCAGAGGCTCAACTTCGACTTCCCATCGAGGACATAAGGAAAACCTGAGGCAAGCTGCGAAACGCTTAAGGAACGCGGAGCCCCTCCCCAACGACAAGGGTTCCTTCTTCAGGGCCCCGACTGTAGGCAGAAGTTCTTGACGTGGCCGCCGAACATGGCGCGGGCAACCTACGGCAGGTCCGTGTCGTGCCGACTTCGGCGTTGGTTTCTGACACCGCGGGGATCGTTCAACCTGGAACGATCGGCCGTTTCCGAAACGTCCAAATCGTTCCACATGCCAATCCAAACCAGGCTCACTCGGGCTCTGCAGGATCCCGTGGGATCCTGCACGATCCTGCGACGTCCGGCACGCCAGCCCGGGCCAGTGCCGCCCTCGCTCCACAGGATCCTGCAAGGCCTGGCGCTCTGGCGCCTGGCGCACAGGCACGAGCGGGCATCATAGCCGGCTCAAAATCAAAAGAGGCATCATAGCCTCATCAGTCTAGATTGATCCACTCACGGATACACTGCGATTTATTTCCATTGAATTCATTCCATGCGTAGCATGCTCACCCCGTCCCTGGAGCCCAGGATGCAGCGGAGGCCGATCCACAAGAAACCTTCCGCAAGAAGCCCAACCCTGAGACCCCAGGACGTCCACTGGTTTTTGGTGTGGCAACGTCACGCCTTCCGTCGTAAAGCCATCGAAACCCAAGAAACCCAGGGCACCCTGGAGGCAAGCAAAGTGTTTCTCGGCATGAGTTTCCACTGTGCATCAGGTGGCCAATGAGCCAGGAACGGCACGCACAGCAGCTGGCAAGAGAAAGACATGTCAGGTCTTCGGCGCCCCGCCCTCTCCTTCGACCGCGCGATGCCGCGCGGATCGCGCGCCCCCCCGCGCTCGAGCTCGGCCGCAGGGCGCTCTCCTGAACGCCAGCCGCATGGCGGCCGCCTGCAGAAGCGGCCGCGCCGCGTCGGTTCTCGGGGCAGGTTGAGATGCAGGAAGGCGCTCCAGCAGCGCTTCAACATTGACTTCAGTGAATGCTGATACCTATTGGGTCAGCTTCACAAGAACAGCGTACGCTAAGCGTACGAGACCTGGGCACTTGGATCTGTAGTCGTTGGGGATGTCCTTGTCCGTGTCATCGAAGTCGCAGAACTCGTCGAAACCAGCAGCGTCGAACAGACCGGAAACGACGACGACCTGGAGGCCACCTCCTTCCCTCGCCGCCCTGAAGGGGCCACCGCCGGCCGCTCCGCCTGGAGTATGTCGTTGGCCATCGGCGAGGACTGCCACTTGCTGGGCCGGGCTGCCGGCGTCGCGGTCTCCCTGCGCGCGCGCGAGGGCCTCCCAGCTCCAAGTCTTCCGCTCTTCCGCCTTCCAGGTCCCCGCAGCGCACATCTCCGCGGGGACCCTCTGGCGCCCTGGGCCGCCTCCAAGAGCCCTGAGATCAAGACACGACTGCCGTCTCAGTCCTGCGATGAGCAAGAGGAAATCGGTGGCGAGCCCAGGGGGGAAGTAAGAAGGAGACGGCCTCCTCAGAAGGTCCGGTAGTCCCCAGGCCTTCTGGGAAATCTTCTAAGCCTTCCCCGGAGACAGAGAAAACTTCTCAGAAGGCTGGAGGGCTTCTGAGAAGCCCCGCCGCCTTCTGCGAGGGCTTTCCTTCTTCTCACTTCCCCGTCGCTCGCCGCCGAAAGAAGAACGCAACACCGCTGAAGTCAGGACTGTGCCCTTCCGAGCTCGTCGAATTCCGCCGCGCATCAGCGAAGTCCAGTCGTGCAGGAGCACAGCAGCCCTCACGTGCAGTCACTCTGAGCCGAACTGGCTACTGAGGAGGTTGGGTAGGAGGAGAATTGAGGAACGCTTGTGACGAAACGGTGATAACAAGAGCACGAGGCAATCGGGTTCTAGGGGGTTCGACGGAGCCCTCCAACTCACCCGTCCTCCTGCTCGTTCTCCACGTACCCTCTCACCAGCCCGCTGTAAGTCAGAGGAGCATGCGGGAAGCCTCGCCTGGCACTGACAATGATCTGGGCGTTTGTGTTCGCGAGCTCGGTTGTCGTCATCCAGCGGCGCGGCGTGCCCATCATGCCGGGCGAGAGAAGAGCGTTGGGTGGTGCTGCTGCCGAGGAGCTAAGCCTGGCTGGAGCGAGCTATTCCCCGAAGAGTCCACCACACGAATAGAAACTGCAAGACACGACCTGTTCAGAAAAAGAAAATGACCGCCGTGAATGATTGCTTTACCAATATACGCCTGAACGTATGATATCATACTCCCAGTCCTTGTTTAGCATCCGTCTCTTCCTCGAATGCGAATGGAACCGATCATGCTAAGGCGTCTTCTATGCCGATGCCTATGATCATCCCTATGACATCGCGTACCATTGCGATTGGTTGACGATGCACGGTGACCATGGGATCGTATATGCGTATCGGTGTGAACATGCGTGCGATGATGAATCTGAATGCGGTTCGACGGCACTGCTCGCCTAAATTGTCAGAGAACTTGGCGGCGCATGCGTACACGTGTGCCGTATGCCTGCCCAAATGCTGACGTGTATGCGGCATGCGTGTGCTCACGCTGATGCCATGCCTAGGATTGTAGCTGCGTAGATTGTGCATGCCATAATGCTAGTGCGCACTATTTGATTATGCTTCTGCTTCTGGCTACGCGTATGCGTATGGCATATGCCAAGGGGATGCTGCTTTCGCTTGAATTGAGGCCCGCGTGCGCATTATTTGCGTACGCAAGCGCCTATACCAACGCCTCTGCACATGCCCGTGCGTGCTCCTACGCGTACGCCAGTGCCTTCGTCGACGATTACTTACATTATGTCATGTGCACCTCAAGACAGTGGAGCATGGATGTCAACAGCCAATTTAAATGGCAAATCAAAGTGAGGGGGCCGAACGGCCTTACACCGTTCCTGGGTGCGTAGCTAAAGTGGGCTCCGGGGCGCGGATTCTGCTTGTTGTGGCAGACGAATTCTCATGTCCACGGAATAACTATTGTTGCCCACCCCCCTCCTGCGGTAACACGTGTGCGCTTCTTTCAATTGACGTGCCCCTTCTGGGGCTCGCACCCGCTTTTTTACAAGGGAAAGGCTTGAGCCTCAGATTGGGCCGATAGTCCCCGAACTAAAATAACAACGGCTCCCGCCGGATACTTCCTGAGAGCTCATTGAAGAATTGCGCTCCCGCTCGAGACTTGAATGCAATGTATCCAGGGATCGCGCTCTCGCCTGAGACTTTCTTCCGATGTATTCAAAAACCGCTCTCTCGGCACTCTGGAATCGCGCTCTCGCTCGGGGCTTCTTCGCAATTTGCTCAGGATGCGCGCTTGTGCTTGAGACTTTCCTGCTATCTCTCTTGCTGGGACCTCTTGCCAATCCCGCTCGTCCTCCATCTCTCCTTCCCTCTCGCCCCCTTCTCGGCTCCCTCCCGTCTGCCGCGCCTTGCTCCTCGCTCTGTTTCCCTCTTCCACTTTCTCTGCTCTTCCTGTTCTAGGGGCTGCGCCGATTATACTTCTTCCTCGCAGCTCAGCAGAGGCAATCCGCACGTGCGCTCGCTGTAGCTGGGGGCGCTGACCAACAAATTGTCCGGGTGCAAGCGGAGGCGTGGGAAGACAGGGCGGCATCGGAAGAACCGGAGGGGGAGGAGAACGCTCACAGTCGGGGCGTTGACCTAAGGAACCCTAGATAAGGAACGGGGCCCCTTCCCCCCATAAGTTGAGCTTCGACTTCTCATGGGAAGCCTCAGGAAAACAGAGGGCAAAGTGCAGAACAATCGAGGAACACCGAGCCCCTCCCGAACGAAAAGGGCTCCTTCTTCAGCGCCCCGACTGCATGGCTGAAAGGGTTCCCTAGTGAGCGCGCTGGTGCGGCCTGTCAGGGCTGCGGTGCCAGGGCTGCGGGCGCGGGGCGGCATCACGGCCGCATCCAATGGCCCAGCATCGCCACTTACACGTGGCAGGGAAGGGAGATATCCCCGGAAGGTGGGCACGATCAACGACGAAGAGGGCGGACATCGAGGGTTTGGAAGAGACATGTTGGTTGACACGCGAGCATCTGATAATGAACAGTCTTGAAACAAATCTAACATCTCATTTTTAAAGAATAAGTCATGTTGACCCCCCCTCTGGTGCCGATGTTATTTTTCCATTGAAGTGTCCCTCCCAGGGCTCGCACCCTGCTTTATACAAGGGGGAAGTCTTGGGCCTCACACTGGGCCCCTGGCTCCCGAATTACAACAACAACGGCTCCCGCCTGATACTCCCCAACAAGTTGCTCCAAAATCGCGTTCTTGCGCGGCACCGTACAATGTATCCAAGCATCGTTCTCTCGCCTGGGACTTCCTTGCAACTTATGCAGACGCCGCGCCTTCGACACTCAAGAGTCACGCTCTCGCTCTGGACTTCCTCACGATTTATTCTCTTGCGCAGCTGTGTTCTAGAGCTCGGACCTCTTCATTTTCGTGGTTCGTGGTTCGTCCTCCTCCCCTGGTTCGTTCTCTTCCCCTGGCCTCCCCCCTGGCTTCCTGGCTCCCCGGGGCCTCCCACGGCAGCTCCCCTGGGTCGCGGAACCCTTGATGTTGGTGGTTCGTGGCTCGTCCTCCTCCCCCCGTCCTTCGTTGTCTGACTGTGCAAGAGCCAGGGCACGCGTGCCACTTGTGTGGGAGTCGCGCTGCCGCTCGAAACTGCTTGACGATTCATGCTTGACGATTCATGATGGACTGAGCAGTCTGGCCCGCCCACTTGCCCTGTGTGTTAGAGCCTGCCCGCCCGTCTGGTTCTGCCCCTTGCGCTCCTGCTTTTAATCCCCCTCCTGCTAATCTCTCTCGTACGTCATCCTTTTGCTCCTCCTTGTCTTTTCCCTCATCTCTCCCTTCCCACGTTTTAGGTGCTGCGCCACCCACACTTGGAAGGTAAGGAGGGTGTGCCCCCAAATGGGGCAAGATCGAAGACTAAGAGGGCGGGTGTCGAGGTATTGGGGTACACGTACATGGAGGCTGACACGCAAGCATCCAAACATACGAAACCGAAACATCTTAAACATATTGATGTTGTTGTCGGCACCCTCGGTCGCGACCCGCCCGCGACCCACCCGCGACCCACCCCGCGACCACCCCGCGACTCACCCGTGACCCACGCGCGACTCACCCATGTTGATTTGACAAACAATTTCGGCGCCTGCGGATGGCTCGTTATGTCATGCGTACAACAATGCTCGCCAGCGTGGGCTCCAAACAATGTATTTCTACCAATTTATGTGGTGTTGTGCATATGGAGCGATATATGTGGTGCAAATTATGCGGGACAACGGGTGTGAGGTAATCTATGTGGTGCGCTTTACGTTGTGCAATCTATGTTGCGCAGTCTGCGGTGTGCAATACATGTTGTGATCCATGTGTGGTGCAATCTATGTGACGCAATCTATGTGATACAACCTATCTGGAGCAACATATGTGGTGCACTTAGTTTCTGTTCGCAATGAGTTGTCCACAACCCGCGCGCACATCCCACCTACCCACCCGCAACTTGGTCTGCAACATCTCTTAAGACCGTGACGGTGGGTACCAAATGGCACTTGGCAACGACAGCGACGCCGACGACGACAGCGACAGCGACGACGACGACGACGCGGCCGACAACGACTACGACGACACCGACGACGTCTCCAACGACTTCGACGACGCCGACAACGACGACGACGACGACGACACCGACGACGACGACGCCGACGCCGACGACAACGACGACGACGATGACGACGCCGACGACGACGACAACAATGACACCGACGACGACGACGACGACCTCAACGACGCCGCCGCCGCCGACGACGACGACGACGACGACGACGACGACGACGACGACTAGACGACGACGACGACGCCGACGCCGACGACGACGACGACGACGACGACAACGAAGACGACGACGAGGGAGGAGGGAGGACGACGACGGCGACAACGACGACAACAACGACAACGACGAGGGAGGAGGGAGGACGGCGACGACGCGAACGACGAAGAAGGAGGGAGGACGGCGATGCCGACGACGACAACGACGATGGAGGAGGGAAGACGACGACGACGACGACAACGACGACGACGACGACTACGGCGACGAAATAGGAGGGACGACGACGAGACGCCGACGACGGACGACGACGACGACGAGGGAGGAGGAAAGACGACCACGGCGACAACGACGACGGAAACGACCACGACGCCAAAGAGGACGACGACGCCGAACACGAGGAAAAACAAAGGACGACGTAGGCGACGACGACGACGACGCGGGAGGAGGGAGGACGGCTGCGACGACGACGACGACGACGCAAGAGCGCGCGCGCACGCTTTTGTTGAAAATCCGTGTTGCGAAACCTGGTGTTCTTTGTAAGTATTTTGGGCACACGATGTTGAAATCCTTCCGAAACCGATGGGTTTTGAAGGATTTCGGCATACGCGCGCGACGACGCGCGCGTCTGCACTTCGTCATATTTTTTGTAAGGAGGATTCTCGCGACGACACGCGCGCAAGGGCGTTCGACAGATTTCGACATGCGCGCGCGCGAAGCCTGTTTGGTAACATTTTGTGAAAATCTTGAAAACCGATGGTTTGCTTAAGATTTTGCAAGAGCTCGCGCGTAAGCTTTTTTAGCAAATCGATGTTGCGAAACCCTGTGTTTTTGTATGTTTTTTTGAAATTCGATTGCGAAATCCTTTTGGCACCGAAGGTTTTTGAAGGATTTCGGCATGCGCGCGCGACGACGCGCGCGTGTGCACTTCGTCCCTTTTTTTGCAAGGGATTCGTGAAGAAGTCTTATGTTAGAGCAAAACATGTCCCCGCGTATTGTTTTTTTACAAGGGAACCTCAGGGGGGCCGATATAGCCCCCCGGGGATAGTGTAAGTTTATATTTAGGATGGACATGTGGTCATAATCATATATGATTTACATACCCGAAAGGGGGGCGGATAACGCTGGGGGGGGGGGTAGGGTCTATATTCTCTTTTTAGAAAAGAGAATATATGCGGCGCAATCTTTGCGGTGCTGTCTACGCAATGCAATCCATGTTGTGCGATGTGGGGCGGCAGCGGTGCGGCGACGGCGACCACATAGCCGCCAGAGCGCCACACCGTCCCAGACGACGGGCGGCGACGAGGCGGCGACGGGGCGGCGACGGCGGCCACATGGCCGCCAGACCGCCACAGCTGCCCCATGTCTTAGAGCAGAAAGAAGAACCCCTAATTACAAGCACCGTTTGAAGAACAAATCGGCGCTTGCGGCGGGCTTCTCTTGAGCTTCGTTGACTGACGACGACCCAGCCGCCAGCTCACTCCTATCCGCATTTGCGAGGTGCTGCGTGTTTCCATGACTGGCGCGAGCCTGGCTGGCGTGAGGCGCGAGGCCGACGTGCGTGAGGCGCTGCGCGCGTGCATGGTGAAGCGCCCAGGGCCGCCGGACTGGGCAGCTTGCGTGTGGGCTGCGTCCCCCCCCGCCCCACCCGCCTTTTAACAATTACACGATATGAATACTACTCTCCTGTCTCCAATGGTGTGTCCGGGAAATATTCGGCCCCCCTCCGCGTATTAGTTTTTTACACGCAGGATTCCTGGGAAACGGGTTTCGCTGGGCTTTTTTTCAGAAAATGCTGCTCTCGCTGAAGCGCTGGCCTCATTTTCGGGCTACCGCTCGTTCCGAATCATGCTCCTGCTGCAGCGCTGGCCTCATTTCCGCACCTCCGTTCATGCCGAATCGCACTCCCGCTGCAGGGCTGGAACACGATTTCCAGCGCCATGCCACGGCATGGTTTTCGCTCCTTCCAAATCGGCCCCAAGATCCCAAAAATGCCCCCCCGAAGGCACCATCGGAAGTGATTCCACAATCGGTGCCGATTCGTTGATTTTTTAGGTCGCAGGAGCCCCCCCTCCGCTATGGGGCGTCGCCGCGCCATGCTATGTCAAACTACGCGTCCTCATTTCCGCGCTTCCGCGTTTTTTGTTTTTTTGTTGGTTGTTGTTGTTGTTGCTGCTGCTGCTGCTGTTGCTGTTGTTGTTGCTGTTGTTGTTGTTGTTGCTGCTGCTGCTGCTGTTGTTGTTGTTGTTGTTGTTGTTGTTGTTGTTGTTGTTGTTGTTGTTGTTGTTGTTGTTTCTCTCAAAATGCTGCTCTCGCTGAAGTGCTGGCATCATTTTCGGGCTACCGCTCGTTCCGAATCGTGCTCCCGCTGCAGCGCTGGCCTCATTTCCGCGCTTCCGCTCGTTCCGAATCGCGCTCCCGCTGCTACGCTGGCGTCGTTATTTCCAGTGCCATGCCACAGCACGGTTTTCGGTCCTTCCAAATCGGCCCCTAAATCTAAAACATGCCCCCCCCGAAGGCACCATCGGAAGTGATTCCACAGTCGGTGCCGATTCGTTGGTTTTTTGGACAGCAAAGCCCCCCCCCCCTCCGCTTTGGGGCGTCGCCACGCCATGCTATGTCAAGATACGCGTCCTCATTTTCGGGCCGCTCGTTCCGAATCGTGCTCCCGCTGCAGCGCTGGCCTCATTTCCGCGCTTCCGCTCGTTCCGAATCGCGCTCCCGCTGCTACGCTGGCGTCATTATTTCCAGTGCCATGCCACGGCATGGTTTTCGGTCCTTCCAAATAAGCACCAAGATCTAGGAAATGGCCTCCCGAAGACACCATCGGAAGTGATTATCATTCGGTGTGGGTTCGTTGATTCTTTGGGCAGCAGAAGCCCCCCCCCACTTTGGGGCGTCGCCACGCCATGCTACATCAAACTACGCGTTCTCATTTCCGCACGTCCGCGCTTGATTTTTTCCTCTCCAAAATGCTGCTCTCGCTGAAGCGCTGGCCTCATTTTCGGGCTACCGCTCGTTCCGAATCGTGCTCCCGCTGCAACGCTGGCCTCATTTCCGCGCTTCCGCTCGTTCCGAATCGTGCTCCCGCTGCAGCGCTGACTTCTTGATTTCCAGCGCGATGCCACGGCATGGTTTTCGGTCCTTCCAAATCGGCCAGACAATCTAGAACATGCCTCGCCCTGGAACAAACATTGGAAGTGATTCCACATTCGGTGTCAATTCGTTGATTTTCTGGGTCGCAAGCCCCCCCCCACTTGGGGCGCCGCCACGCCATGCTACGTCATGCTACGCGTTGATATTCAACACCATGCTATGCCATGTAATGCTATGCCATGCCGCGCCATCCGATTGTGCGAATAGAGAAGAGATCTACGCCATGGTAAGGGGTGAGAGGGAGGGGTAGGACGTCAGATATGACGCGAGCGCACCTACCTTGCCCTCCTCCCCTCCCTCTTCAGCTGCCTCTCTCTGCCGCTGGGTTTCTTCGCTGGGTAAAAGTACGACGTGTTTTCCTGCCCACGCTGGCTTTTTCTTGCGTATTCACTTGTTTTTTGCCCAAGCTGGGACGTGAGTTGACCATGGAACACTTCGGTGCCACACCGCCCGCTGTCCTGAGGTGGTGGGCGTCCTCCAAGGGCCCACGCAGTGATTGTCACTTGTAATGCCGAACAAAGCATCAAAGACAATTGTGTTTGCGCTGATCTGGAAAGGGGTGACAACGACAGCTGGATGCTGATGAGGACGAATTCAACTACACGTGACGGCTGAAGATGAATGGTTCTGATCGGCGACCAATGGAAAACGGATGATCGATGGCGGAGTCTGTTGGTCCGTGGACTACTGTCGCCGGCTCCAGCAATCTCCACTGATCTGGCCTTGGCGTGGAAAACACAAGCCTGATCGTCCTGTCCCTGTTCGCCCCTTCCTGCGCATCTTCAAATCGAAGGGGAACCACTTGAGAAGCCCGCGAATCTCCCCTTCTCGTCCTCTTCCTTCTCCTCCTTCTTCCTCATTCCCCCCCGCTCCAAGGCGGCCATTTCGCACGGTCCTCCAGTGACTCTGGCTCGCGCCAATGTGGAGGTGGGGACCCGTGGATCGGGCGCGCGGGCGCCACGTCCACGCGTGGAGGTGAACACCTCGCCGAAACATGAGGCCAGTGCTGCCTCGTTTGGCGACGCAGCGCGCCGATTTCGTGTGCAGCCAGGGCCCGTTGCTCGTCCACGCACCTTGAGCTATGTTTGCGCACCCACCGTAGCCATCTTGGCTCAAGGCTCGAACCTGCTGAGGAAGCGAAGCGAGGGTACAGGCAGTGTTGCCCAAAATGCTGCCCGAGCTGACGAAAAAACCACTGCTGCGCGTGAGTGTTGCTACATTCCCGTTTGCGCTTCATCCCCTGACGGAGCCGAGCGGAAGAACCGCCGCCCCCAAATGGCCACGCCACTGACAGCAGCACACCCGCGCAGTCGTGCTGGGCGTTCCGAACCACTTCCTGGCCAGGGAATCGGACATAGACCCTGGATGACCTGGAGCAAGAACAACAACGTTACAAACATACTCCAGATTTCGTAATAAAGGAAGGGGGGTCTCATTTCGGGGGGGGTCTCTTCCAGGCTATCTTGGAGGGCGTGGGGGAGGTCTGGGGACGATGTTTTGGAGGGTTCTCCCACGGGGGAGGTCTGAAATGGCTTGTCTTGGAGGGTCCAGACCCCCTCCCTTTTAATACGAAATCTGGAGTAACCTGGTGTTTGCGTGGGAGTCCTTCCCGACCTCCTCCGTCCAGGCTCCTCCTCCTCCTCCTCCTCCTCGTTCATGCTCGTTCTTCCTCCCTCCCTCCCCCTGTCCCTCGAGAGCCTCAAATCAAAAGCCTTCGGGACCCTCCGAGAGCCAGGCGGGGAGGACAACGACTCCAGCGCGCCACGCTCCAGCCGAGGCTCGGCCACAGCGACTGCAGCCCCAGGGAAGGGGGAGGTGTGAGACGCGCCTGGGCGCTCGAGTGGAAAACGGCT